GACATGACATAACCATAGCCATTATAAGATTCATTTGAGTTAGTACTAGGTCTAGTTCCTATGCTCATAGATCCAAAACTGATCGCCATGTCCTCTTCAGATGGATTGGAGGTATTTGGGCAAGGATTAGCTATTTTTGGGTTTCAATTTACTTCAATTGCCTTCAAAACTTCTAAATATTTTTTGGGTTATGTTATGGGTATCGGGAAATATTTGGGATATTGGCAAAATATCGGGGATATCGCACTTATCGGGGATATATCGTCGATATAGGGGAAGATATGGCCTTACCCCCCCCAGTATTGGTGTCGATAGTTGAAAATATCGACATATCGGCCGATATATTAGTGTATCGACCGATATTTCTATCCTTGTTGGATGGTACACCAACTAACTGGTGTACCCGGAACATACAAAAATTACTCGTAAGAAAGAGGTTTGGCTTTTAGGCTATGGAGTTTAAAAGTGAATTGGGCTATTCATACGTAACACACGTATACGGAGGAACTTATGTATTTTGGTCCAGCTCAAAAGTTTCTATTGTATGGGCATAGAGAGCAGGTGTGGTCTTGAGATTTTGAGAGCCCTGTGCGAAACTTAAATGGGAGCCCTCACATAATCTAATCACAATTTTTTTCTTTATTGATTGGAGAAAGCTTGTATATATTCCCCTTCTTTGATGTGTTTCCTTTATTTTTTTTTTGGAACATGTGTTTTGGTTTTTGATTATCTGATGGTGTATCAAATGTGAAGGAAGAGTGGCCTTTTATAGGCATCCAAGAATATGTAACCTTCACCACATTAAACCAAAAAATTAAGACATTCAATATAGAAATAATACCTCAAAATTAAAAATGTATAACGCCACAATAAATAAAATAAAACAACTAAACTAATTAAATAAATAAAAATGGTTAAATTTTTAAAACCTTTTAAAATTCCAACAGGACATACACCACTTCATCGAAAGCTAATTTGTGCGAATCATGACTTCATAAGGAATACTCAACTGCAAATGAGGCCATATCCAAGGCAACCTACCAGAAACCCACTCCTTGAGCCCATTATAAAAAGCAAGATAAATCTACTCGATCAGAAGCGAGAAAAACGAAAAGATGATTGATGCGAAACCATTGTTTGGATTTGCAATAAAATAATGGAAAGCAAGAGAAAACTAAAAGAAATAATTAAAGAGCACAGGAGAAATCCAAAATTTCCGATCAGATGTAGGAGCTGTAATTTTCGCTTAGATGTGAAAAATATTTTGAGAGGGTTGGATTGGCTGCACACTTTTAATAAGTCAAACAAGCGTTTGCTAAAAGACACCAATTATTGAAGGCCACTAGACTTTACCTTACTATTTTTTGAAAATTCGGATAAGTCCAACTCTGATGACTGCTTCATATTTGTTGTTATTAATCTAATTGCAAAACCTTTTTATAAAACTGCTTATTTTTTAATCACCATAATCCAAAATGATGTCTAAGTCTTCTGACTTTTGTGTCATTGCCCTTTTTGATTTTTTGATGTTTACTTCTTAATTTTTTATTTTTTATTTAAGGGCTACCATTATTTTACCCTTGAAGGTTTGGGGTCATTTTTAAAATGGGCCACGAAACTTCAATTTTGTCAATTTACGCCCTAATGTTTTAAAATTCAACCAATGTACACGTTTCGTCAGTTTGACCGTTCGGTCTTCTGTTAAATGATGACATGGCAAAAGTAGGATCCACATTTTAGCTTAGCTATAATTAAATAAGAAGAAATAATATTTAAAAAGAATTTAAAATTTTTGACAAATATTAAAATAAAAATAAAAACATATATCTCCTCTCTCTCTCTCTCTCTCTCTCTCTCTCTGTATCAACCCTCGCTCCATTTCAAGAATGACCACAAACCTTCAAAGGGTAAAGTGAAGGATTTTTGTAGAAATATCACCTTAAAGAAAAATTTAAGAGAAATGTCACCTTCATTTTTCAAAATCCATGATTTGTTATCTGACTTTAACGCCATCCAACTTTCCATCCAATTTTTAAGGGCATTTTAGTCTTCCTATTTTAAAGGAAAAAGAAAAACATAGGGGTGTTGTTACCAAGCCCCCAATCTTACAGAATGAGATCCATTGTCCCCATTTTTCCTGTCTCATCCTTGTCCCTTCATTATTTTTTCGACACATATCCACACTTACCCTAAACACTAAGGAAAAAAAAGTTAATCTAGTCCTTTTCTCCAAGTCGCCCCAATCTCTTCCTCTCCTCTCCCATCGCTGATGTAACTTTTCGAACATCTAAAAAAGAGTATCCAAAAATCACAAATTAAATTACTCGCAAGCGCACGAATCAACAATAGTATAGAGATATGCAAGTACGAGGTCGAACCCATAAGGACTGATAAAAACAACTTAATTAATTAAATCGCACTAAATCCAATTAAACGAACGATTGGTTGATTTGAGTGATGAATTAAGGAAAGCGTAAATTGCAAGAATTAAAATAAAGAAAAATTAAACAAACGGACAAATATAGGTTTGAAAGAGAAAGTGATGAAGATGAAATTGGTACTTAGGTGATGAGGGGTAAATTTTACGACACTTAAACAAAACGCAACAATCTTCACACACTTTGGACCTTGACCAAATACACTTATGACTAGTCAACTGCTAGTCATGAACAACCACAATCAAGAATACACATAGAGCATGCCACAATGTACCTGCAACCCTAGAAAAATACTAGTGACAACCTAGGCACTCAGAAGGACCCGTCAATCTAGGCATCCCCTGTGCTAGCAACAACTATGATGGAAGTGTGTGAAATCATCATAATCAAGTAAACACCAAACATCAAATAATGATGACTAGTCAACTACAAAGACACAAACCCAGAATTCATACGATGACTAGTCAACCACCAAGAACACAAACCCAGAATTCATACGATGACTAGTCAACCGTCAAGAACACAAACACAGAAAAGTCATATATGCAAACCAGAAATTTGTTCACCCAGAAACCCACCATTGGGAAAAACTGGGGGTCATCAACCGACCAGGCAATCCACTAAGTAGAAAAAGATTCTTACAAAGGAACACAAGTAAGCTCAAGAAAAACCTAGATCTATTTAGGAAGATGAGCTATACCTTCTTTGTGCAATCTTCTTCTCCAACATAACAAAGCTTCAAGCTCAGTTCTTCATGGCAATGGCAGCTCCTTCTCCAGCTCTTTCATCCCATGGCACTAGCTTGCAAGCTCTAACTCATATTGAAACCAAAATTTGGATTCAAAGGAGAATGACCAATTTCTTCAAGAAACCATACTCTTGAAGAAATCAGTCTTGAATCTGACCTAGATATAAATGAGAGAGTGTTTTAATTAGCTAGATGCAGATTTTCATTTTTCAAATGCAGTTTTCAAAAAGAAACAATTCAGAAAACTCAAGGATGAAAAATATGAAGGTTCCTCTAGAGGAAGAAGCGAAAGTTTGCAAAGAAACTTTCCAAAACTTGCCTCCCAAAGTCACCGCTACCAAATGAGGAATGCACAGGTTTTTACACAAAATTCCTTAGGTCAAAATCGACACATGGCAGCAGAGAGGGAATGGATAATATGACAAAAAAGTTGGTTATCCAACTGGAAATCCTATAGAGTAAGGATGACTAGTCATACGAGAAACAGATGACTAGTCATAGGAGAAACAGATGACTAGTCATCATTTTATGAAATCAATTTAATGTAATGTGATGCAATGCACAATTTTCCTTTGTCAATTTGCTTGAACCTCCATAGGATAATTGTTAGTTAAGAACACCTAGAGAAGTTATTCTTAATCTAAACTTGAGCTTGATAAAAACAATAAAAATCCTATTACAAAATTGTCAAGGGAAGCCAAAAGAAATACTCAAAATTCATACATTAACAGAAGATCTAAGGTTATGAATCCACCAACGACAATCCTATTTCCTTTTTTTAGAGCCAATTACTATCCAATTATGATGCCAATGTTAAAGGTTGTTCTTTCTAAAGTATGAAGTAAGCCTGTCAAGGTCATAAATCGTGTATCCCTATATGCAATTCTACCATGTCAAGGTGTTAAAATTTAACACATAAGAACCCGTTAAGATTAGAAGAGTTCAATCAACCAAGTAGGACTAGTGGATGGCATTTCTCTCCTAGCTATCTACTTTTTTTAATCTTAGTTCCAATAAACCTCTCTCTCTCTCTCTCTCTCTCTCTCTCTCTCTCTCTCTCTGTATCAACCCTCACTCCATTTCAAGAATGACCACAAACCTTCAAAGAGTAAAATGATGTTAGCCCTTTTTAAAATTATTATGTGGTTCCAATTTTACCCTAAAAACATAAATAAGTTAAAAATTGATAATTATTTGGTATAAATGGGGATTTCTATCACAATAATGACGATATTTTATGCTTATAATATAGGGTTGTAAATAGGTTGAAAAATTGGGTTTTATGACAATAATTACTTCAATAAACTATATGTTGTGCATAATTGTTGGAGTTGTACTTTTTCAATTCCTCCCCGAAATTTGTCTAAGGAGGTGGTTCAGGGAACCCATTGTAGATGCTCTAAATATCTTAAATTTTGTGGACATAAGATTTGTTCACTTGGCCACGTTGCTAGATTTGTGGACTGCAATCAACAATAGACAAATGATGTCCTACATCCATTATATCTTAATGAAATTGGACATATTTTCAAGAAGTCCTAATATTTTTCCCAATATGTCATGCTTGCCTCAATTCGTTTACTTATTTTCGTTTTTATTACTAGTAAGGTGTTTTATTTTATAGAGCATCCCAACAAAAACATATTCGTTTTTATTATCCAACAATTATTATTAATTCCCGCACACAGAATAATAAAAAAATCATTAATTTATCATATTTTTAATAGGTGTTCACCTGATTTTTTTCATCCAAAAAGTCCGGGGTGATCTTATATATGGAGCACCCTACAAACGAGTTATTTGTCAAGCACAAACACAACACCACCTAAATAACTAAGAAGTGGAAGAAGATGTTAAATCTCCTGAATGAAACCTTCTCAAGCTTGTTGCAACCTTTTTCCTTCAAGTATTTTGCGCTTCTTGCAATTTTCCTCATCGTTATATACAAATGGTTCTCCAATTCCGTAAACTCATCACCACCTTCTCCACCAAAGCTCCCTATCATTGGAAACCTTCACCAACTAGGCGAGCACCTTCAGCGCTCTCTTCAAACCCTAGCTCAACGCCACGGCCCGCTCATGCTCCTCCATTTTGGAAGTGTGCCGGTCCTTGTGGTCTCCTCAGATGAGACTGCCCGCGAGATCATGAAAACCCATGACATCACATTCGCCAACAGACCCAAGAACACCTTCTTCAAGAAGCTTTGCTACAACTCCAAAGACGTGGCCTCAGCTCCTTATGGTGAGTATTGGAGGCAGCTGAAAAGTATATGCGTCTTAAATCTCCTTAGCAACACAAGAGTTCGTTCTTTTCGTGCCGTAAGAGAAGAGGAAACCAAATCCATGATCGACAACATAACTAACCACTGCTCCTCATCCCCCTCCTCAGCATCATCATCATTTAATTTAAGCGAAATGCTCGAGACGCTTATGAATGATGTGATTTGTAGAGTGGCTCTGGGGAGGAAGTACGATGGCGGGGAACGTGGGAGGACGTTTAAGAAGCTTGTTGGGGAGCTGGTGTTGGGGATGTCACGTATCCATATTGGAGACTATATTCCATGGCTTGCTTGGATCGCCCGTCTCAATGGTTTGGACGCCAAGTTTGACGATCTAGCTAAACGATTTGATGAGTTTTTAGAAATAGTTGTTCAAGAGCATATGGATGAACTTGATGGTCTGACCAAGAATGAGGACCAAAAGGATCTTGTGCACGTTCTGCTTTGCCTTCAGGCTGATTCTCCTATTGATAGAGTTAGCATCAAGGCTATCATCTTGGTAATTAACTCTCTCTCTCGCTCTCTCTGTTACATTACATGCATAGTGGTGTTGGATTGCCTTATCTTTTTCACCATAGTAATGCTAGAATTACTCAGTTTGTTCAAAGAATGATGTTACATTATGCTTGTTATGTGATCGTATCTAAAGAAATAAATAAGTTTAACAGAAATTGAACCATATCTGAAATTTTTTATTGTCAAACTTGTGCTAGCCTGCCAAGAAACACAAAGAAAAAGATGTGTTGTGTGACAAGAGACTAGTAATATTAAAAAGAAAATATTTTGTAAAAACCTAATATAAGTCAAACATTTTGGATTAACGCGGTTTTTTTAGGCTTATTTGTTGATATGTCCCCTATGCTGTACCGAAAATCTCAATTTGCCCTTATAGTTTCAACTGGTCAATGTGCCCCCCATGCATATCATTTCGTGTACCACGTTCCCTCATTCCGTCAATTTCCTCAATAACACTGTTAACTTGCTGACATGACATAGGTGTTTTAGTAATTTGACATATTTCTTTGAAGCATGAGCATTTTCAGGGATTTTGAATATTTCATTTTTAAGGCCTTCTACCTTTATATATATAGATATATAGATAGAAAACACGTGGGGTTATTCCTAATGAACCCCAATGCTTTTGGGTTCATTATCTAATTTTCCATTAATTTTTTAATTGATTTTTTCTGTTAAAATTCTTGTAGGATATTTTTGTCGGTGGCACTGATACCTCATTTGCACTCTTAGAGTGGACAATGTCCGAGATTTTAAGGCATCCAAGAGTCATGGAAAAATTGCAGAATGAGGTGAGGGGGATAGTGGGCAAGAAAACAGACATAATTAGAGAGGATGATTTGGTTGGAATGCACTACTTGAAGGCAGTGATCAAGGAGACTCTTCGCCTACATCCTTCAATTCCATTGCTATTTCCCAGGCTATCGACCCAAGATGCACAAATAAATGGCTACAACATTAAAGCCAACACACAAGTTATAGTGAATGCATGGCAAATTGGAAGAGATCCCAAGTCATACAACAAGCCAGAGGAGTTCGAGCCAGAAAGGTTCTTGCACAGTGCCATAGATTATAAAGGCAATTACTTCCACTACATTCCATTTGGGGCTGGCAGAAGAGGTTGCCCAGGAATTCAGTTTGCCATGGCTATCCAAGAGATTGCTTTGGCAAATTTAGTGCACAAGTTCAACTGGGCGCTGCCCGATGGCGCAAGAGGGGAGGACTTAGACATGACTGAATCTAGTGGAACAAGCGTTCGCAGAGTATATCCTCTTAAAGTTGTTGCTATTCCATATTCGGGCTAATATAGTGTTGGTGTATCCGAATTGGACCTCCTTTATTAAAAAAAAAACAAATTATAATATCTTACGCCATTATTTGGTAATAAGAATTTGAAATAATGTTTAGGTTTTATGTTATCATTAATATAACTATGTATTAAGAAAAGTGTGGAAATGCTTGTGGGCTCCTTGACTATCGAGTTGTTGAAATGTCCATTGTTTGGGATGTGCTGTGCAAATATGCCAATAACTATGTCTCGGTTATTTATATATTAATTTATTTCTTACATACACATGTATTGGAGAATATTTCCACATGTCCCATGTGTATTGGATGGCAAGGATTAAAATATCGGCAGTGCAGATAATATCGGGTCTCTAATTTACGAATATTTCGGGGGATATATCGTTATCGTTTTAGGTATTGGGAAAAAATGACGTATATATGCATTGAAACACATAATTTTGGTGTAAAACTTTCATAGATGTTATGTACATCATCAATGAATGTATTGAACAAATAAAACTCAAAATTTACTAATAATAAGATATAAATATGATGAAATATAAGTGGTATGTAATGCGTGTTAATGAAAAGTTTGAAAATAAATTATTGAATAGAATGAATGAACCACGCATAAATCCATAGTTTGTTTACACATTGGATTACAATTTAGAAAAGTGTCCATCTACATAAATGAAGAGCTCCTATGAGGTTCAAACAATGAGGAACAACCATCTAGATTCATACAATAGTTATACAAGGTCATGTAACCCGAGCAGTTTGTAAACCATGTTTGAACATGGTGCACATGGGTCTTTCTTGAGCTCCCTACTATCCTCCCATATATGGGATGATTAGGATTAACCCAACTACTAGATCCATAATCTGTTTCATCATCTTGAGCTCCATAACTAGTTCCACTATAATTAGACATGACATAACCATAGCCATCATAAGATTCATTTGAGTTAGTACTAAGTCTAGTTCCTGTGCTCATAGATCCAAAACTAATCGCCATGTCCTCTTTGGATGGATTGGAGGTACGTGTGCAGTGGACTGTGCATAGATTCTTCATATTAATAATTTATAGGGTTCTGGGCAAGGATTAACTATTTTTGGGTTTCAATTTGCTTCAATTGCTTTCAAAACTTCTGAATATTTTTTGGGTAATGTTATGGGTATCGGGAAATATCGGGGATATCGGCAAAGTATTGGGGATATATCGTCGATATAGGGGAAGATATGGCCTTACGCCCCAGTATCAGTGTCGATAGTTGAAAATACCGACATATCAGCCGATATATCGGTGTATCGGCCGATATTTCAATCCTTGTTGGATGGTACACCAACTAACTGGTGTACCCGGAACATACAAAAATTACTCGTAAGAAAGAGGTTTGGCTTTTAGGCTATGGAGTTAAAAAAATGAATTGAGCTATTCGTACGTAACACACGTATACGGAGGAACTTATGTATTTTGGTCCAACTCAGAAAAGTTTCTATTGTATGGGCATAGAGAGCAGGGCTAGTCTTGAGAATTTGAGAGCCCTGTGCGAAACTTAAACGGGAGCCCTCACATAATCTAATCACAATTTTTTCTTTATTGACTGGAGAAAGCTTGTAAATATTCCTCTTCTTTAATGTGTTTCCTTTATTTTTTTTGGGACATGTTTTTTGGTTTTTGATTTTTGATGGTGTATCAAATGTGAAGGAAGAGTGGCCTTTTATAGGCATCCAAGAATATGTAACCTTCACCACATTAAACCAAAAAATTAAGACATTCAATACAGAAATAATACCTGAAAATTAAAAATGTATAACCCCCACAATAAATAAAATAAAACAACTAAACTAATTAAATAAATAAAAATGATTAAATTTTTAAAACCTTCTAAAATTCCAACAGGACATATACCACTTTATCGAAAGCTAATTTGTGCGAATCATGACTTCATAAGAGCATCTCCAACGCACACCCAAACTAGGGCAAAAGGCCCCCCTCACAAGCCCAAGGTAGCTCCAATGCTGCAGCCTCCAGCCCGATTTCACGTGGGTCCCACCAGCCCGGGCAAGCCCAAGGGCAGGTTTCGCCTGGGCTTCAGACCGAGTTTTGTGATGTCAGCGCTGACGTCACGCTGATGTCAGCGCACGGGAATTCAATTTTTTTTTACCGTTGGCGCATGAATTACACGCGCTGACGTCAGCCTGACAGCCTCCAACGGGCATGTGCCACGTGTCGCAACCGGGACTCTCCGATCGGTTTTTTTCAAGAAATCCGACGGTCCTCGTTTTTTTGGCTAAAAAAATTGCAAAAAAAAAAATGGAAAAATTCTGAATTTATTTTTTAAAAATACCAAAAAATTATGTATTTTTCCCCTATAAATACCTAACCATTTTATTTACTTTTCACACCAAATCTTCATACAATTTCTTCTCCATCCAATATTTTTTACTCTCCACTCATATTATTCACTTTCCACACCAATTCTCACTACAAACTCTTATCCTTCCAATATTTTTTCCTCTCCACTCACATTTTTCACTTTCCACACCAATTCTCCATACAAACTCTTCTCCTTCCAATATTTTTTACTCTCAACTCACATTTTTCTACTACTTTCCATTTGTATAAAAAAAAACAAATGGCATCTTCTGTCGAAGCCGGAGGCTCGTGGGCAACTCAGGAAGATATTGCGTTGTGTCAGTCTTGGGTGAACGTTAGTCATGACCCTATCACGGGCAATAAGATGAAGTTCCATCATATGTGGAGCAAAATTCATGGAGAATTTTGTCAAAGATCGAGTTCCATTCGGACCGAAATGGCCTTGTCTAGTAGATGGAAAATTCTGAATAAAGAGTTAGGGAAATGGAGAAATGCCTTGACAAAAGCAAGGGAGAACATTCGAAGCGGTCAAAATCTATCCGATGAGGTAAAATATTTATATTTGCCATTTTAATCAATTT